TGCTAAACACATGTAATTAAAAATGTTAAATGGCAACACTCAAAACTATTTAATCAAGCACGGTCATTCATTCCTCTATCACTCTCTGGCGGTCTTAACAATGATGGAAATACTGTCTAATCTAAATTCTTAACTAAATTGCAACTTGGTTTGCTCTATGCCGAGCACCCCGTGGAGGTATAAATTTGCTTTACAATTAGTTGGTACCTTCAACACTTGAACTAACTCGATATTTGGTAGATACAGTGAAGCAGAAGGGCGTGTGCTGTACGAGTCGCATTTTTAAACTGAAAAAGTGTGCTATCTATCTATATATTTCGAGATCTTTTATATCGCGAGTTCTATATCTTTCGAGAGAAACTAAATTCAAAATAATATTACGTAAGACTCTAGTTCACAATTCAGTTACGGGGAATTATTTGTAGAGCGAATTTATTATCTTATCAAATAACGGTTTATTTTGTTCCCTGACTATACGGCTTGCAGGTGTAATTTGCTTAGAATTAAACAAAACTATTATTTCGTTCCATCCAATTATTAAATAAGCTGACAAAATACAAAATCAAGAAAATCTTACCAGCAGAATGAAAAATCAACACAAATCGTAACATGTAAACAGTATTGAAAAACATGAAAAATATCTAAACGCTTGTATATATGACACATTAAATCTTATCAGTTTCTACAGATTAACTATTGCACTAATATGTTTGGTGAGTCACAAATAAAGTGCCATCAAGCTGAAACTTACGAGAGTGGTTTCATAAGTCCGTGCAAAAATGAAAACTGCTTAAGTTTTTAGGATAGATCAGCGTTTCATTTCTCACCATAATCTCCTTTTAGACATTCATTCAACGATGCTTTAGTTGTTAATTCCTTCCGAATAATACGATTTCTCCAAGTCTGTAAGATATGCATTCGATTTTGCAATCACTTCCTCGTTTGAGAATTTTTTTCCGCCAAACATTTCTTCATCTTGGAGAACAAGTAACAGCCCGAGGGAGACAACTTGGAACCCTACCTACTGAGGTGTACACCTAACTGCTGAGGTGTGAGCTGATGCGTTATCGTGACGGAAAATGACTTTTTGTGGACTTTTTTCAATGATTTGTGCAGTAGTTGCCGAAATATGTAGTAGAGAATGTTCACCATTACTTATGTTTATATGGCCACTTCGAAAATTTTTAAACCA